TGTTAATGAAGCAGCAGCTCTCCTCCTTTTTGTTTCATTTCACTGCTCTCTAGTGGACAGATCACAAAACACATTATTTTTCCCCTTCAACACCTTTAAATGTACCCTCTAGAAGTTACAACTTTAAATGGCAATGCAACTCTGGTGGAACTGCTCCAGCAGAATTTCTAGTCTCTTACCAGCAATATTTCAGAACCAGGTAGCTGTTCTGTGCAAAACTTTTGTAGGTGACAGTCTACCATAACCACAGGAGACCAGGAACATAGTTACCGTGTTCCTATAGTCCTGGTAAATGTATTCCTTAAAGCCTAACAATACCATCTTGACTTCCCACATAAGGTGTGCCTCTCCATCTATAACGGTATTTTTGAGTGCAACAGTTGGCTTAATTTCAACCAAAGGATGACACAAACGTTAATTACCTGACAAAGGCTGATGTTCTCATAAGGACGTGCTTGTGCAATCAGTTCAGCTTTGGATTCTCTCTTTTCACCATGAACTATCAACAATGGCTTCTTCCTTAAATAAAAGAGACTACTATTAAAACATCAAGTGAATTTGTCATCAGTCTAATCCATCATATATCTATGACTTCTGGCCCAGTAAATTGTATGGTAAAAGGCTTCTTTTTCCATCTTTACAGGTCACCTACTGCATTGTTGTCATAGTCCACAATGGGACCTCTTAAGTCTTAATTAATAAAAATAAGAAACTGGTCATACTGAACTACAACCATTTAAGAGTTTTGAAAAGAGTAAAGAAATCAATAGAGAACTACAACACAAGTATTTTTACAAAGCATAAGTGTACAAGAGTCCACAAACACACAACTGGTAACAATGATTTGCAATCCAGTGTTTATGATTCAGTTACAACAGCAACTCCCATGAACAGAATGATCTGGAAACTGTATCATCTCATCTTCATGAAATAAGCATACCTGAATTCCTGCGGATACTGTCTCACAAGCCATGCCACATCTATACAGTAGTTAAACTTGTACATAAGAAAAAGAAAACAGACTCATTAAAAAGTACAGTTTGTCAGAACAATGATCTACATATAGTCATTGCTCAATACCATTTACATCATACAGAGGATGTTTTAAAAACAGGTGTATTTTTGAATTTCACATGCTTTATTTCATCCCTCTTAACAATTCAGGAATGAGTTTAAGTTATTCAAAAGCATGTATTAGTGTTCATAAAATTTAACATACGTAAAAAAAGAATCACAATGTAAAAACTTTGGTCAAGAACTATCTGCCACGTGCTTATCCTATGAATGACAGCAAAAGTTTCTATGCAATAGAAAAAGATATCATTACTAAATTGCAAGGCTTTTTTCTTTCAAAAAAAATCATTTATATGCACATAAATACACATTTTTCAGCTATCCATTCTGCCAAAACAGGAGAAAGCAGTCTTATAATTGCCTGAATTCTAAGCAGATCATGGAACGATTTTTATATTTAAATAAACTGTTGTACAGTTGAAACCATTTAGAGTTCCCTCTGCATTTTAACAGAGTTCCCTACTACAATATCAGCTACATGACACAAACTTGGATTATCAAGTTTAAGGTTAATAACATGAAATAAGCAAGTGAAATTAATTAAATTAATTTCAAACAAGAAACTCACCTGGGCAGAAGATATGAGAGTCCCAAAAAGAGGAGACAAAATATCTATTAAAAACATTAAAGCATAATTGAGTAAAAAAACCATTCAAGTGAACATTTCACATCTTGAACAGTTCGATAACTATCACAAGTGCCAGATTGTTCACAGACTTGGTGTAACTGAGACATTCACAATAAAGTTTAGTTTGAACATTCAAGTGACTGATTTCCCTGTGAAACCCTTACGGTCTTATGTTTACAAAAAGGATTAATCCTCTCAAAGCAGAAAACAAATTTTAAAAACTCATTAGGAGAAGACCAAGATCATCTGGAGAAAGGGATATCAAGCTACTATCTCCTCTGTAGAGAGGGCTTGAAGAACTGAGGTAGCATATAAGTAACAAGGGCATATTTCATGATTAAAGACTTATCTGTTGCAGACTGATTGCTGGATATGGATATCCTTAGTTCATTCATGGTAAATCTGACTGAGTATTTATAACCTCAATAACTGAACCTGAAAACATAACCTACAGTTACCTTCTAGGATAGACAATATATTTCATGCCCCGTCTCTACAGAAATCCGGTTTTGCAGGTTAAACAATCAAAAAAATTCAGTCCCTCCACCAGCTCAACTAATCACCCAACTGCTTTTGGCAAGCCAAAAGCCACAACGAATTCACAAAGCAGATAGAAGGCATACAGCAGTAAAGCAATCGAGGTCTCTAACACCAGGCTAACCACCAATAATCAATGCTCATAGGAAGCATGTGAGGTTGAGGAAAAGTTAGAATCTTATTGAAGAGGTCTTCAGACATTTGTTCCCCTTCAAAGAACTACCTCATTTTACTATATTTCTGTGCATAAATCTCCTAATAGTGCTTGTTTCTGATTCTTTCATTTCTGAATGAGATAATGTTTACAGGCGGATAGAGCTGTTCCCCCTTACGTCAAACTACAGCTACACAGCATTCCTACAGCATCACCGTTGTACACCAAAGACTCCACTGCATCTTGACTTACACTCGCTTCTAACCGAATTGAAATGGGCTCATGAATCCCAGTCATGGAATTTCATGGAATAGGTACTGCACCACATAATAGTCAATTACCAGATCCAAACTGCCCAGTAGCATGAAGTGCTAACAACTAGTCAGGGAGCATGGTTTGGCACCTCAGTATCCCTTTAAGCGTCACGAAGGCAAGCTGTTTTCCCTAGATTAACTCACAAGGAAAGCAACAACAAGCAGCACCACGTGATTTACCTTGGCTAAACAAACATGAGATTTGTGCAGCCTAATTCAGAAGTCGCAACAGAATCAGTATCAGCAAATTAATGCTTTATACACTATAATTCTAAAAGAAAGCCTCAAAGATAACAGAGTAGATTCCTACAAACTGCACATTTAGAATTTGAATCTTCAGCTACACCAACAAATACATGTATTTAAAAAAACCACAAACTAAAAAATAAGCATTGTTGCAAACAAGTCTCCCAAAAGCCTACTTTGGAAGAAGCCACTTGTTCACCTTTTATGTGCAGGGCTCCAGAATTATAGCTGTGTTCAATTCCTTTGACTTTAGTGAGAAAAAACCTGAATGGGTTTCCTCCATTCAACAAATCCCAGGTATCTTGGGCTTCACTGGGAGTTTCATCATATTCCTCTGCTTTCTGATTCTCTGGGAGTTCCTCATCTTTGCAAGGATTCAGAGGATGTTCTTTGGGTGCATCACACTTTTCTTCTTTCACCGTTTCTTTGTGGGCATGCTTTTCCTCATCTTCAGCCTCTTCATCACTACTAGAAAGACACCAGCCTGAGCCTTCTTGGCTAGTTCTCTGTTTTTCTGCTGGAGGTATTTCTGTAGAAGTTTTGTTATCACTGAGTTTCAGGGGAGAAGCTTTTCTCTTGTGAGCAGCTTTCCTAGCTTCAGAGCACGGATATTGTGGTCCACTCGTTCTGCCACGTGTAGCATCTAGTGAAGATGTAGATGGTTTTTCACTGTCAGAATTTTCCTCAGTACTTTCATCACTGCTAGACACTGTCCATTTTCCGTGTGCTCCTTCCTGAAGCATGTTCCTAGGGATTAAAAAACAAAACACAAAACAAAAATTGTGCATTTTTGCTATGCTCAAGTCTGTTTTCCTTCCTAGTTTCCCATTTGCTTATTACTAGGGAGCTTTGCTTTCTGTATTTAGCAAAGTCTCCATGCGACTTCTGACTGGGGAAAATTTCCTAGTGCACAAAGACTATTTGTTTCTGTGCCTAGGAAACAAAGAAACACGTGCAGCGGGAGCCACCATCAAGTAGGAAGCAGCTGAGGTGCAAAACTGCGCATGGAAAGCCGCCTACAGCAGGGGAACGTAGGAGAAAGCATTTCAAACGCGAAGAGAGTAATTTGCATCATACAGCTGTTTCTCATACCGACCCTACGGCCTAGGGGGATAGCGCTCTCTGCTGAAGAGACACGGGAGCACGGAGCCGGAGCCACGGCCGTTCTTCCCGGCTGCCTCTGCGGGACCACAGCTCCCCTCAGCCAAAGGCGGCAGGAGGCCTGCCCGCCGCCGCCGCCGCCGCCGCCGCCTCCTCCTCCTCCCCGACCGAGGAGCTACATACAGCCAGGACCGCTGCTCCCGCCACCTTCCCCGCCGTCCCGCGAGGAGGGCGGAGCCCGCGGCCGGGGCGGGGCCAGCGGCGGCGCGCGGCAGCCGCCACCATCCCCTCAGCCAGCGGCAGCTGAGGGGGCGCGAGCCAGGGCCCTAACGGCCGCCACTGCCGCCCGCACCGGGACCTCGCGGGTCGCGCCGCTTACCCCCAGCCGCTAGTGCCTACCCCATCCCGCTCCGAGGCGGTACAACGGCTTACCCTCAGGCCCAGCCGCCCAGGCAGCGCGCCCACAGCTGGAGGTGAAGAAGAGAAGGCCGTAGAGCCCGCCTACCCCGCGCGCAGCCCCGCCCCCTCCCCTCGAGCCAATGGCGCGCGCCTGGTTTTAGCCAATCGGCGCCGGCGCCGCGCGAGCCCCCACGAGAGCCAGTGGCGGCGCTCGCGCCTGTGGGCGGCCTGAGGGGAGCCGTGCCCGCCTCAGGGGGGTGAGGGTGGGGGATCAGTCCCTCCCTCGGTCTGGTGGTCCCTGAAGGGCTTCTCTGACCCCCTGGGGCACACGAGGGGACTCTGAGGCAGCTCTGGCCCTTCTGTCAAAGTTGCTAAAGAGGCAAAGGAGTCGAGTTTTAATGACCGGAATTAATCTAATAAGTCATTATTTGGCCTTAATATTTGTTGAGGGCAGGTGCAGTATTTGCATAATCGTTCATTCAGCCCGATGTTAATTACTGTGTCTGAAGTGCCCCGCTAATGAGATAACTGCATGACGACTTCGAGAATGGAGTGGGAGGAAAACAGGTGTAAAACTAATCAAAGTAAGCACACAGAGCAGGCTTTGATGTGGTTTATCTACCAAAATGAACTGTCTTGGCATTTGGTTCTCATTAATTTATTTCAAGCTTGTTAACTGCAGTTAACAAATAACGTATCTTCTGTCAGCATGCAATAAAATTGGCAAGCTACACCTAGAAAGCCATTAATGAAATCTCAACTTGTGTAATTTTATTAGTAGCTTTCTGCAGAGTTGCATGTAGTGCTTCTTCCTGAAACAATCTGTGGATATATTCTTCAGTACTATGAGATTAAATGTTTTATTACCAACCCTGCTGAAGGGAAACTTGCAGGGGTTTTTAATGTTATGTGCATAGTTTCTTGTCTAAGTATAGACTATTCTAACAGTATTTATTTTTTAAAAATACTTCAGAAAATTTGATGGCTTCTGACTCTGCTTGCGTTCCTGTCTATGTAGTGACTTCACTGAGAGAATTAAACACGCATTTTTCAAGAAAAAAAATTCAAGATCTTTCAGAAACAAATTTAATGTGATTTGATTTCTAGAAGTCTTTGCAGTATATTCTAAGTTTGCAAAAAGCCTTTTCACTCTAAGCACATAAAATGTAGAAATAGGAAAACTTTAACTTTGCAAGAATTTAAAATTAAATGGACTCAGTCTGTTTTCAGCTACCGTAACAGAGTCAATGAACAGAGTTCTGTGTGAGATGTTACTAATCTTCAATGTTTTTTTTTTTTTAAATAGCACTGATTATTTGGCAAGTACCTATTTTATTCTTCCCATAACAATTATTCAAAGTAAAAGATATTAGGTCAGGTTTATTGTTTTTTAATGCAAATCACTTTCTCTAGGTTTTTGAAGCATGATAAAGATAACAAAGGCTATTTAGGCAGAGAGGGCTTTAAAGTTGCTATAGCAATGTTGTTTGGTTATAAACCCTCAAAGGTACATATTTTTTCATTTATATTCTGAAGTTCTAGTTTATATAGATGTCCCACTATTGAGAACTCTGTGTACTGACTGGTCTGCCCTAATTGGAGTGGATTACTCTAGGTTTGGTAAACAGAAACGCCTACAGATTCTTGAAGTAATTTTCTTGTCTGGGGGTATTTATTTCAAAAGAAAATAACCAAACCCTTACCTCTCCTGCTGCAGACTGGGATGAGCAAAAGGTTGCATTATATTTCACACGTGTACAAGTTGTATGAAATAAGTGACGTGCTGAGCTTGTTGCTGATAATTATTGGTTTTTGTTAGTGGTAGATTCCATTTCTTTACTCAGTGGTTTCAGCAGATGTGAAACTACTGCATGTCCTAATAATTAACATGTGTTCTCAAAGATATACCTCGTAACAGTTGGGTGTTTTAATCTTCACTTCTCTAATACAAATCCATAGTTGTTATGAAAATCTTAACAAAAGAAAGGTTTACTGAGAAATCACGTGTTGAACACTCACAGGAAGACACAGGATAAATTGTATGGCTCAATGTAGTTCTGTAAGTTTCGTTTCTACTCTAGTACTGCAAGTGATTTCAAAAGAGGAACACACATGCAAGATTTCAAAATAAATGCATATATGTTTCGAGTTTGTCTTTCTCATGGCAGGTCAATACAAGCTTGACCAATATGTTATGAAGACTATTTAGCACAGAAATTACAAGTTTTTCTTCTCTAATTTGAGAAATCTTCCCCAAGGACCCCTTGTGACTTTTTTTTTTTTTTACTTAAATACATTTTTTGGTCTTAACAAGGTCATAAACAAAATTTTGTCTGTGAAAATTTAAAGTAAAAACCACATAAATGTTTCATTGCACTGAAAGTAGTCATCTCTGCTATGTTTCAGCTGCAGGTAGACATTTTCTCAATGAGCTACAGCCAGATCTAAAAATAATTTCTACTTCTAAAATTAGACTTAACTGTTGAATTATGAATCTGAAAATGCTTGGCTGCCTCTCATCTATCTTCTCCTATCAGTTTTTACTGTCATGCAAAACTTAGCCATTCTGTTAAATTCCCTGAATGTTTTTTTTTTTTCCAGTAGGAGTTCTCAAAACAGCTTCAGGCATTCAGACAAGCACAGGTTCTGTGCATAAGTCACTGATGGCTCCTGCTTGGAAAGAGAATAGAAGTGGAGGGCTCCCAGGAAGAAAGGAGGTGCAGGTTTAGTTATTTCTTCCTGAAAAGGTGCCAAGTCGCACCTGCTGTGTCTCCAGGCAGTGCTGTGACCACCTGGCTGTAGACCATTTTGTCTGTGCAGCTGCACAAAAATTAATTAAAAACGTTTGTTCCAGGGGTGATTCTGTTGCCTAGCGGTTTTGCTGCCTCCTTAAGTGGGCCCAGCTCCAGCAACTGTTGCTCTTTACCCAATGACTGCGCACTGTGAAGTGCTAAAAGATCCCTGGCTAGACACATACTTTCCTTTGTGGCTTTTGCTAATATGCATTAACTGTGGTTTATGGCACAGCCACATCTTTTGCTTTTGCTGGTGGCTAGGCCTTCTCAGTGCTCCTTTCGACATTTTGGTAGCTTTTAGTCTAGTTCTGAGAAACGCAACTTTTTATGTGCAGCAGATTGAAACTAAACACAGAAGTTACAATCCTAAAAGTTAATTGTTAGGATCCAGTTCTTGAGCATGGTATTGTGCATTTCACTTTGTTGTCAAAATTATGAAAATCAGAGACGATAGTAACAGTCCTTGTATTTCTTTGGAAATCACTGAGAACAGCCCTGGCAAGTAGAGTACTTTCTAGAACTTTTCCAAGAAACAGGGAATGGTGTGCACACATTACTTCTTAAAAGATGAAACTGTTTCCTCTACTACACTCCACACTGACAGAAGATTTTTAGTAGAAATAGCAATTATTTAGCATCATCGACTGCAACCACGAAACTGCATTTTTACTAAATTGTTGCTGCATCTGTTTGGGTTTTTTTGGTCGCGTTTTCATTTATTCTATAAATTGAAAGTAATACTAACTTTCTCCACTAGATGTCATTAACGAACTCTTTACTGGAGAAGGTGGGCCCTAAGACTGAATTGTATTCCTACACTAATTGCTCTTAGAAAATAATTTATTACAACAATTCTATGTTATTTTTTATAAAATATTATTTTTGCGTGGTTATTCATAGTTCTTACTACAGTTTAAAGTTAAGCCTTCTGAGACAAGTAATTAGGAAAACATGAAAATAGAGATTAACCTGATTGTTGGACTGATACTGTAAGTATATTTGATATATTTATTAGCATATAAAAATCATAATTTCTGGGAACTAGCACCATTGTGGGAACCATGTTTGTGGGATATATGCTTTTTCCTTTGGAAGTTTGGTTCACTGATCCTCTTTTCCCAAAAGAACTGGACTAAAATGCTGTCATATTTCAACAGCCATCCAGCTAGCTAACTGCACCTAATTCAGGTGTTAAGTGTTTCAAATGGAAAGGGTCCTGCAGAAATAGCAGCCATGAAAATACGTCATTTCCCCAGCTGAAGTTTCATTCCTGGTACTTTTATATTTAGACCCAAGTAAAAGCACTCCCTACGCTATGCCTGGGAGGCCAGGCCCACAGAAATGCCCAGTGTTTTCCCTGACCCACATCAGGACAGCAGTAGGTCAGCGTCTGCTGCTGAACAAGATGCCAACAGCAGGGCAGTCTGAGCTCAGGGCTGCCTACAACTTCCAGCTGCTCTTTTGGCACATTTTATCAGAACTTTCTAAAAAGGATTCCCTAGTCTATTTGCATGCCTGACACAGTTGATGTGAAAGGTGTTGCAGGGCAAATGGAACATATAGTCTTAGGTTAATTGGCCATGGCATGTTTGGCTTGTCCGCTCTCCAGAGTGGAGTATGCTTAGGTTGCACTAGAAGCTGCTAATGTGTTGTCTCCTCCCATGTGAGTTGTCTCAGTGCTGCAACTATTCTAATAAAACAGATGTGGGGGTTTGGACTCATGAGCACTCAGTCATGCCAAAAAGCAATATAAATATTATATAAATATACAAAGTGGACCTGTGCTTTCTTGGATATACACTCCCATGCTGTTCCTCACATTGTTCAAAGATCTTTCGCAGTGATCTCTTGATCACCTCCTAATTCGGTTCTGAAAAGCCTTTTTTTTGTTTGTTTGTTTGTTTGTTTTCATCATGTCATTTAGCTTTTTGCTTTTTGAATCTTGGTAACACGCTATTCTTAGTTAGTGATCATTAGTGAATCTTGGTAACACACTTAATAATATGTAAGTGTCAGTCTTGTGATCATATCAGATAAAATTGTGAGGTAAGACCCTATCTAAGGACAGGAAAGGAAGTAGATGATACATAAAATGAGACAGTAGTGGATTGGTTTCAGGATAGTTGTGGAAGCTGCATGATGCAAACATCTTCTTAAAATTTCCTTTTAGTTTATTTTTCCTATACCTTTTTGTTAAAGTTTTTATTTTAAACAGATTTAGCAAATTAATTTTAATCAAACTAGATTTCAGGAAATAGCTGGTCTTCTACGGGAAGTCTTCTCAAAGTGGCATTTCTTAATAGCAACATTATGTAGATTAGTGATGAAGAAAGGTAATTAGTAGTTTTTAGTATTCGGGTTGGTAAAGTTTTTTGATACTGTTCCACTGTTTACTTGGGCAAATACTGGAGTCTTACATCACAGTTCAATAAATATCTCTTTCTGTAACACCTTCCCATTTCTATAGTTTTGTTTGGTTTTTTTCTTGTCCTTTACCTTATCAGTTATGCCCAAACATCTGTTTGTGGGGTCATGTGGTAAGTCTTATTGGAGAAATGATTCCTATGAAAAATGAAGTGGCCAAAAAATGTAGTTGTTTTTATGAACAAGTTCCCTCATCCCTTTTGTCACATGGCCCCGCAAGTATTTGTATTGATACATTTGAAAGGTGTTGCAGAGGCTGGTTCTGTTTATTCCAGCATTGATGCCAAAACCCATGTTCATTAAACCACACCCTTACTTGTAAATCTTTCATTTAGGCAACAAATACAGAAGATTTTACTCATTTTTTTTTCAAGAGAACAACCATATATGAATGCCTGGATGAAAAATAGTGAACTAATATATAAAGATAGATTATGGATTTGTTAATACCTAATTGGCTTGCATATTTTTTTGAGATGACCTTTTTGTGTGTTGAGATATCTTTACAGCCTGTTCTAGTAGCACATAAATTGTCAAGTTGCAAGATCAATGAATAGGCAGCACTCTATTATAGGAGTCATTCTATAAAAGGAAAATTGTATAGTACAATTTTCTGGGCTCGTTATGTTACTCTGAAAGAGAAAAAAAATAAATGGGTGGAAAGCTTATATTGCTTTTTATGGTTTCACTTCCATAGTTATCCAATTGAATGGAAAGCTGTTCATGCAGGCAAGTTCAGTGTGTTTAGGCAACCTCTGTTATTAAAGAAATTGTGCATGTACAGAACCTAGCAGTTGAAAGCAGCAAGTCTTTGTAATCCTGGAAATTGAGACTGTAACAGTTCTTAATGTACGATTTTTTTTCAAGAAGAAATAAGGAAAGAAACACCGGAAATCCATAAGCTTGGAGTTTAAGATTTGAATTGAGACAGCAGGTGGAGCTGAAGGAGTTGTCCTTTTGAACCACTGCAGAAAGAATAGGATATGATTGAATCAAAAAAGAAGTGCAGAGCTTTTGTTATGTTATTTGATAAAGAAAAACTCCTGCAGGATAGAGTGATGATGCCTTCTAAAGAAAACCGAGTTGTTTAAAAGGAGCATAAAGCATATATTAGAAAGTTATAAGAAAGAAATATTGGTCTCTTTAAATATTGAGGTGAAGTAGGATTTTTTTTGCCAAAAACATATGTATCCACAGAATTTTTATATCCAGATTTTTGCATGTTTCATGGGGAGGTCTGAAGTTTTGAGGGGCAGACTTTTGTTTCTTAGTTTTTATGTTTTAATTTGATTTTAGAAGAAGTGATCAATTAAGTACTTCCAATCTAGGCTTGCATTTCAATTTCTTTCATTTTCAGTTCATTAAAAGGAAAACATAGATGTATAAGTAAATATTTTCATATAGTAGTGTACAGGAGGAATAACCAATCCAGTTTCACATTCGATTCTATTACAAATATCATAGGGATCTATATCTGAGTTTATAGATAATTTCAGAGTTCTCTCATTCCTGGGAATGATGCCAGACAGATTGTTTATGCAGCATGGATCTTTATCCATGGCGTGCAAGTGCTATTGACTTAGAAAAGTCCACATTTCTCTCCAGTGCAAAGAAACATGAGATGGCAAGTAAGAAGAAAAACATAAATGGAATCATTATACTCAAGTGTAGAAAATATGTAAGAAAATTTAAACAATATTGAAATATTTGCATGATTATGATTTAACTTTGAATACTATTATTTCAGTTTTATTTTTGTGTTTATTTATTTCATTAAAATTATTCATAATTTTTAGACCACAGTTGTACAGATTTTTAAGGAGAAAAATAAACCTGACTTTTTTTGCAGGAGTCTTTATTTATATTTTACATTTTCCTAAGTCTATTAATTGAAATATTTTGAAATCTCACGAGTGCAAAGAAGGCTGCACAGTTATACAGTAACAAAACAAGACAAATATCTACAGATCTTGATTTTCTCCTAAATATTTGGAGTATTAATTTAATTCTAAAATAATTGAGTAAAACAGAACACCTGCAGGAAATAAAAAAAAGTTAAGATGATGTTCTGGATGCTGCAAAGTAAAACAGCACCAGCGTAACGAAGATCATGATGATATTACTATAAATGAAGTTGGGATCAATAGGCTGCAGCATCCTAGAAAGCTCTGGATTGTCTATTGTACTATGAGCTCCTCCAGCTGTTAAAAGAAATCTCCAGCCATTCACCCTGCCTACTTGCTGTTGCTACCTCTCATTATTTCTCTGTTACTCATACTCATATATTTCCACTCATTTATGCCACATATTTTACATATTTCTGTCCCTGGTGATGGCTATAGATCTTTTTTACTTCTCATGAGAGACCAAGGAAGGGAAATCAAAGCAACAAGGATTTTTCTCTCATTCTTGATGGGAGGCAGATGTTGTGATTCTTTTTCATTCCTGCTAGACAGCAGAGGATCTCCCATCATCAAACTGAAAAAAGGAAAACTTCATCAGGAGCCTCTGAGCTGTTAGACATTCAAATGATCCTTTGCTATTTTCTTCCTGACCTGAGATAGGACTGTGGTCCTTGAAAAGAGAGAAAGTGTAACATATGGCAAATCAGATGCTGGGATGATCAGATAGGCATCCACTCAGCTTTTTGCCATGAACTAAAAGTAGCTTTTGAAGTGTTATTTTTAGAGAGTTATTTCAAAGGAATTAACTGTTTCAAGCACTGTGCTTTTGTTTCTCTTGCGATCTGCTGCACACAATCTGCAATAGCCCTGTTTGAGATGCTTTATTTTCCAGTTGAATCTGGAAGTGGATTCACAACCTGAGTGACTGATTGATTGATGTTACTCTGATATAAGGTATTCAGGAACTTAAGTCAGCAGCAAGATTAAACCGAAGGAGAATCTTTTTATGAAAGAAAATTTTTGAAACACAATGATTAGAGTAACGAAGATAGATTTGAAACATAAATTTGCATATTTTAGAGTATGTGTTTTCAAAGTTTTAGAGCTCAGATTTACAATTCAAAATGTCTACTTTTAAAGTTAAAACTTAAATAAGAGTTGCAGATGTTGTAGGCATAGTACATTGAACAGGGTTCACAGTAGCAAAAAGGAATTGTCAGTATAAAATCTTTCTTAGACTGTTCTATATAATGTAGGCATGCTAAAATACTTTCCACATAGAGGAACTTAAAGGGTGTATAATCATTTTGGAAATGTGAATTGATTAGCTCACATGCAAAGAAAATAGTATTAAGTAGTTTAAAAAAACCCTTGATTTGCACTGTTTTTTCTCTTGCCTAATCTAGATTTGAAAAATAGAGGATTTTTGACGTTTGAAGACTTCAAGAAAGCCTTCAATTCTGTTTCTGCTAAGTTATCTGAAAGAATCATAGTTCAAGCCTTCAGGTAAGACTAACAAAGACATCTTTATTCCTGGATAGCAGGGTTTTTGTTGTATATATTTCAGTTAATTGAAATGATTAGATTCTATCATGCAACTGGAGATATAAGCTTCAGCACATTACTGTTTCAGTGCATTATGTTCACTATATTATAAAGATAAACAATGTGTAAATAATAATATATACTGTATGAATACAAATAATAAAATAATAATTATAATTAAAATGATAAGTATTATCAGATACAGAAAGTAATTTGTTGTCTGTAATGTTTTGTAAAAAGCCTAAAATTATCTACTTTTACGTTTTCCTCCTTAATCAGGAAATCTCTATTCAAGAGCTGTCTCTTGAAAAATTCAGTTAAACTGTAATGCGTATTGCAAAGCAGTACTGGTGAGATTTCTTGCAAGGTGAGATTGGTTCAGAAGTGGAAGAATAAAATTTTGAGAGTAATTTGCAGATCATAATTATTTTTCCTCTGCAATTGCCAGTAAACATTATTTAAAAAATGTTTTGGAAAACATTGCATTGCAAAGTGTAAAACTTTCTTTCTGTGATGTGATTTATTTGGAATTAACTCAGTCATTGAGAGAATGCCTTCACTTTTGAAGACATGGCATCTGATAGCTTTCTGAGCACCATCTTTAAAAGGTGGGGTTGGATTTTGGGTTGTTACTCTTTTTTGCACTTACCTGGAGTCGTGGTACAGAACGTTATCGCAGAAGAGGAATTGGTCTGTACGTCTTTCAAGCCACTGGCATACAATGACAAAATCAGTGTGTAGAGTGCCTAAGGTCTTAGATGACACTCTTGTGTTTTTGCACTAAAAATGTCACATATTTTGAGGAGAATAATTACTTTGAGAAGGTTTGAAAAGGTATGTGGTATATTTTTCTTATGTCCAAGTGATTTTACTATCACTTTTGGTATACTGTCAAGAAATTAATAGGAAAATGTAAGTAGAATAGCTTGAGATGTTATCCTTTTTTTAATATTTTATTTTAAGGACTTCTGTGAAGGGCCTAATGTCCAATTTTTCTGTCCAGTGATTAAAATGTTCTGCTTGAATATTAGTGCTTTTTAGGTCAGAAAAGCATACATAGTTGCTGTTCATACTGGATTATTTTGCATTTTCACATATATTTTTTTGTTATATTTCTCATTTGAAAAAATGTCAGATAAGGCTGCTTCATAATGTAAAATAGTTCTGAAAAATGTTGGCCCATCTTTCTGTCAAAGAAACTACCAAATTTTGAATTTAAATTTTAATCATGATAAATTTATAAATGAAGGAAATTTCAGCCAAATATTATGGTATACGCTGTATCTAGTAAAGAAGACATGTCACAATCAACAGTAGCTCTAATGCTAACATTATTACAGTCCAGCAAATGAAATTTAGGATTGCATATTTATAAATGAGGTGTGAAACCTGAAAAGAAACATAGGTTCTTTAGAATTTCTTTATCAAGAAGAAGCTTGCATGTTTGTTTTGCTGGTCTTGAAAGAAATTGCACAATTAAATGGTATATTTCAAGCTTTGTCGAATTGTTGTATGAAAAAGGAGTTTGCTGCTTACCTATTAAATGCTGTCTCCAAACCATGTCATGTACTGGGGTATTCCTTTAATTTGGAAGGTTGGATGTATTATTTTCTTATACTTTAAATGAAGTAAAATGCTACAGAATAAGCTAAGTCTGTGGTTAGTGTCACAAGGGCTAAAAGAAAAGTGAAGTAGTAAAAACAGTTAAAGGCACAAACATAATATTTAGCTTCTCTGCTTACCATGTAGAGCAGGGAATTATTTTCTGTTATGGAGTGTAATTGTCAACATATTCTTAGACGTATAAATGAAATAAAAATTAACAGGGGTATTCAAGCTATGAAGAAAACAAGGAAGGGAGAGTATCAGTAATTGATTTGCATTAAGAATGAAGGACCCCATGGAAGTAATTTAGCTTTCAGATCAAGTAGACTTGATTTGTAGTTGTACAAAATGCTCATAATGAGGCATCCATACACGTTGAATTGATTTTAACAAACTTAAGGCTTGAAAATGGAATTATTGTATTTATCATTCATATATTTTATTAATATTAAAATAGTCTGAAACTGTTTAATATAATAGAGTAAGAAGCTAAGGAATAACAGATTATTTTTCTAACCTACCTGTACAACAGCTGTTATGCTCAAAATCTTGTTATGTCTGCAAAGGAGACACACCTGCTACAAAAAGCCAAAATTTATTGTTCTCTATGGAAATCTTAGCAGTCTAGTCAAAGAATTATAAGTAGTACAGATTTAATAACTAAAAAAAAAAGAAAGAAAAATAAAATAAAGAATACTATGCTGCAAAAAGTCGCAATGTGGTTAAATATGTTATATACCTCTGATTATATACCTCCGAACATCTACCTCTTTTTCCTTTGTTATTCTCAGTCTTCCACTGTCCCTCTTGGTCTGAGGTTAACAGGTTCAAGGCAGGCATGGGATGGTGAGTTGCCATTACCCTGACTTCTTTACAAAGAGGAATATGACAGTCATATCAATGTTTTCTTCTCTCTCATTCTAGCATAAACTTTGGGTCATTTTTACATATTTTCCAACACAGTTTATGTCTTCCTCTTTCTTCATTGATTTGCAAGCCCGCGTTGCATCCAAGTTTACTTTATATAGCACGTATTGCATATTTTAGATATTTGCTCATTGCTCTCTTTGTCATCCATAAACCCACTTTTGTCTGCATTGGTGAGTTGTTTATTGTCTTGGTCCTCCAGCATTAGCCTGTGGACTGTATCTTAACACCCCATGCCTGTCCTCCTCTATACTGTGCTGTGCCTTTACATCCGAAGGCCTCTGCTATCACACCATGTCTGTATTTCTCTACATCATTATCTTAAAGTCATAAATATTTTATTTTACATAGAAGAAATTCTTGTTACTACTGTCCATATAAAGCTGTATTTATACTGTATAAAGATAAGAAGAACAAACTAGGCCTAACCACCTGGTCCTTAAAAGCACTGCTGTTACAGATAAAGCAAGCAAAAGCTCCAGGCAGGTAAAACAAATTCAAAGTCTGACAAGACTCATTCTTCAGACCTTGCAAACTCAGTGCAGAGTTTCTGGCCTGTTACTAGCAATGGCTGCACTGTATTTACTGGAATAACGGGTTATGAAACATAGTTAATATCGCTACTTTACTTTGATATTGTGTATTCTTTTATAAATGTGTAAAGATGTAGTGAATGAATTTGAATTGGTGGTAGAGCTTCAGGATGGGATGGTGTTAAATGTTCCATTTTTTGAAAGAAAAAAGATGCCTCATTCAACAGTGTTTCTAACTGAATTAAGTGGGTGTTTTGGGATTTTTTTATTTCTTAATTCCTTTGGCATTGTACCAAACAAATATATATTCATCTTGTAGTGATAAATTAATACTTAATGTAGATGTTCTTTCTCCTAAGGGATTATTTTCTCACAAATGTCAGTAATATACTGCACTTAGCTGTTGCTAAGTTAGCAAAATGTGAGTTTTCAGTTTATATTTGATTGTATTAACTGACCATAATTTTGCCTGAACAGTACTGTAACATTTATTGTTTCTGAGCTAATATTGCAGTTATATTGAACAAAATTCTCAAGTGCTTATCATGCACCTGGTGTGCACCTGATTAAAATGCCTTTGTAACATAAAAACTCAACATTCTACACACTGGAGTTGCAGCAGTACCTGCTAAGGTAAATGGTGTGATGATATGTTCTTTCATGATGGGGCTCTTTTTAATGGGTAGCACACACAAGAATTTATTTATAATAATGCTGCTGTTTTGCAGGTAGCTACATGGATATGAAATGTGACAAGACCTTTGCAATAATAATTTGTGATAAATGGCTGTCTGTAAGTGAACATGTTGTCTTTTAAAGTGGAATTCAAATTCTTAAAAAAATATTTCAAGTACTGTTTTCCATTTTTGTTGTGAATATGTCATATTTGAATTATACAATATTATTAATTACTGCTGCTGAGAAAATATTTCTCTTAGCTGTGCCATTTGTTTAAAAAACATAGGTTATTTGTATGCTAAAACCTCAGACGATGATAATGGAAATAGTAACAGAAGTAAGCTGAAAACCAATCACATGTGAATGTGAGTGAACCTATAAATGATGAAAAATGTCCTACAAACCAAAAGTGGACAGAAAAGTCTCATACAGTTTTTAAAGCTAGCAAGCATAAATCAGATCTTAAGGAAGAAAAGAAGGCATTCATGATCATGACATTTTATGCTGCTGTGCCTTTAGATTGATAGGATCACACACTAGAGGTGTATTAGTGTTTTTGTATGTATTGGTACTTTCCATAGAAAAAATGACCTAATTGTCTCGTATTTCTTTCATGTAATTATCTAGTAATGAGAAAATAACCTGGTTTTCAGAGCCACCCCATGGAAGAAATCTTATGCTCTTTTATGCAAGTTTGATTTATAGACATGTACTGCAGAGCACCGTGAATATGAGACATTCATCTTCCTATGGCTAGTTGCCATGGAAACATAGTACACAGTACAATGTCATTCCAGCTCTGGTGATGCCTGCAGTAGTTTATTCCTTTGTTGTTCTTGTTTCTTAAGCAACTGTCTTGCAGCCTTTCATATTATCACACTTCATCACCTATACAAGTCTTTTCCCTTATCTCTTGAGAACCATCTCTAATAGAAAAGATCCATTTTTTGTCTACCCACGCATATCAATGTATGTACTTTTTTTTTTCCAAATCATGGGCTAAAAGCTTGTTCCATGCCCACAGGTAATATACTATTGCCCTAAAACTGGTAAAGAAGGTGGTAAACCAGACCCACCATCAAAGTGTAAAGGACCTGCCTCAGCATCTTTATTTATTATCTCCCATCAGGGACTGGAGTTAAGATTATTATTCTGTAACCAGTATCTTACTCCAGGAAGATAGAAAGATTCTCCTATCTGTCCTTAGCTGGCATTTGT